GCCCAGCACCGGTGAGCAGCCCCAGTTCGACCTTCAGGGAACCAGGTGGCTTTCAGTGAGCTGCCACCTGCCTTTTACCTGAGTTCTCAGCATGTCTCTCCCAAGAAAACCAAATAAATCCACAATCTAAAACTCCAGGAGTTTGCACTCTGAGCCGGGAGGGAGCAAGAGGGAAAGGGTCAATGCGGATCAACTTCCAGCTAAGCATGGCCCTTCACGATGAACTTGGGGAGTGGCAGACACCTGATGACGGAAAGGGCCCTGGGGAGGAGGAGGACACCTGACCCATGGCACCCAGAACACATGATTAGGGTGAGCAGCAATAATGCTCATGATATAAGGCGGGTCTGCTCACACTGGGCCCGGGGTGACTTGGTCCCGAGAAGGCATTTGGCAATGACATTCATGGCTATCACAACGGTTGGTACTGGCACCTAGAACCAGTGATGCTGGGAAATCTGCTACAATGGCAGGGCACCCACCTCAACAAAGAGCTATGCAGACCAAAGGTCAACAGCACCGAGACTAAAGAAAACCCTGTACTAGACTAACACCTTCCATGCACCCATCTCCAGAAACTAACAATCCTGCTGAAATGAGTATGTGCCATCAAAGGGATGGAGCTGTGCCCTGGCCGGTGTAGCTCAGTGGAGAGAGCGTCAGTCTGCAGGCCGAGGGGTCCCGGATTTGGTTCTGGCCAAAGGCACATGCCTGGGTTGTGGGTTCAGTCCCCAGAGGGGGGTGTGTGTGCAGAAGGTAGCCAATCAGTGATTCTCTCTCATCATTGATGTTTCTGTCTGTCTCTCCTCTCTTCCTCTCTGAGATCAATAAATAAACATATATTTTTAAAAGATTTAAAAAAAAATGGATGGAGCCACTATCCTGCCACGAAATTCCACCCACTCTGTTCAGCAACACTCACCATCAAGCAAATGACATGAGGGGCAAAGGCAGCATCTGCAGAGTGCCCAGTGCTCTCCCAGCAAACACGCTTAAGGGCACTCCTCGGCGTCCAAGAGACCACCCTCTTTCACAACCATGACACTGAAAGGGGCCCTTACACACACAGGCACACATGCCATACATGGATGCAAGCATGCATACACAAACACACAGGAACATACAGGAAGAGCCATCTTAAATATTTCCCCAGTTGTCAGATGGGGCACTGGTTTAAAAAAAACAAAAAACAACAACAAAAAAAAAAACACACACAAAAGACTGCAGAGTTAAAATGGCCCAAGCACTCCCAAGATATTCCAAAGGCAAAGAAAGATGGAAAGAGAATAAACAAGAAAACTCCAAAACCAGATTTGTCCCTGGGGCTATCTCACAGCTTCAAACAGTTCCAATACTCCACGGCACATCCACGGCACACAGTCATCTTTTATTTATAATTGGGAAATACGATAAGCATATAAGGAGCGGGTAAATATAAAGACGGAGCTTAATGAGTGACAGCGAGCCCGTGTCACTACAGCGTGGGACAAGGAATGGCACGGTGGTGGCGGCGAATGGCATCCTCCCGCACGTGTGGCTCCCACCAGGCGCACAACAGAAGACCATGGCAATGGGAAACGGTCCGGCCTCCCTCCAGGACTGAGATTTATTTCACAGGCCGTAAGGGAACAGATGTGGGAAGGGGTGTCTGTGGCAGCAGCCTCACCGACTGCTCCTTCACAAAAGCAGGTGCGAGGAAGGGCAGGGAGCGCTTTGCCTGCAAACAGTAGGAATACCCGGGTGGGAACCAAGGAAAGCTCGAGCTGGACTGCGAGCGTCAGTCCCTCCTGTGGCACCCTGGGTACCGACGATCTCTCATGAACCACAAAGTAACTTCCTGCCCCACCGTATCGCGGGGACAATTCAGCAAGATCATGAGTTTCAAGTGGCAAGCACATCAGCTCTCACAGCGATGGGCCACAAATGCTGGTTCCCTCTCTTCCCACACTGCCCCTTGCCCCCAATCATGCACACAGGCATACGGTAAAGGCCATGTCTTTAATGTATGATTTGATTATTAACTTTCCTAATCCCCAAATTCTCGAACCTGTTTTTGCAAAAGTGATTATACAAGCCCAATCTCAAGTTACTCTGGTGACTTAGGAAAAAAATAAAAAATAAAAAATAAAAATAAGTCCAAATCCGTCCAGGAGGCCCAGAATTTACCCTCCTGCCCTCTCCCAGTCACATCCCTGTCCCTCCCCGACTAATCCCAACAGCTGGGCTGGCAGGAAAAAACACCTCACACCCCAGGGGGGGAGCCTTCAGCTCAGCGCTTTGAAGATGAAAAGCAACAAGGTGTGTTTATTTGTCCTTGGTGCACAGTCTCATCTACCTGGGCTGGGCTGCAGGAGCGACTCAGCCAGTAAAAAAATAATCATCCAATCTGCCCGCTGGCACCAGGAGCAGATCTTTCCAGGAGAAAAGGTCAATCCATCCCCATGCTCCTAGGGGTACACATGGGGGAACCGTAACCCTTTTCATGGACAGAGAGAGAAGGTCGGGGGATCTAGTCACGGAGGTAGCCTGGACCATCATCATTCGGCATGCCCACCTTCAGCGCACTTAACCCCCACGCCTACCGCAGGGAGGAAACCTGGCCATCCCGTGGCCTGCGGCTCTCGCACAGGATCCATTAAAAAATAATAACTGCCATCCAGCAATGCTTCACTTCCCCAACACAGGCAATGCCAACGAAGGAAGGAGAAACCCAGGAAGGTGTCTGAGAAGGTTCCTGAATAACGAAGGCCTCCAAACCGCTCTTGGAATGTCAGTGGCCTTTGAGCCCCACAAAGACCGGGCTCCACTTTGACCCAGGTTTCTGGTCACAGACTATCAACGAGGACTGGTTTATACAATCTCTCTCGCTTCCTCGACTTCCCAGGGGAAGAGCCAGGTGTAGGATGCGGGATACAAGAGTAGGGTCTTCGATCCCGCGACGGACCCCAAACCAAACCACACGGGCCTCTCTGTGGGCTGGGAACCGGGGTCGCCAGGCGGGCATCAGGAGAAAGGACCATCCCTGTTTCTGGTAACACATTCAGGCCAAGGAGGAATCCCGGAGAAGAGGAGACGCTTAATGCAACACGAAACACGCACACACCCCGACCTGCCCGGGGGTTTCTAAACAGCAAGCGCCAAGGCCACTGACAGCCGCATGGGCTCCATGGCCTCAGATAACGGAAAACCACCCCCTGGGAAGGTGAGGCAGCTCTGTGACCCCACCCCATGAGAACCATTTTATTTATTCTAGTTCTATTTTACACGGAGACACATGTCAAATGACCAGCCCTGACCAGAGAAGGACAAAATTAACTTTATAGCTATTTTTACGGACGGGGGGACTCAACCAAAGCAAGCAGGACAACTGGGAGAGGCAAAAAATAGTTTCCACTGAGCCACAAGCAGCTCACTGAGGACACACACACACACACAGGAGCAGGCTCCGGTCTGTCCTACTTGGGTGTAATCACGGGACACACACCATGGCTATCCAGGCTGAGAGTGGAAGGTGGGCAGATCTTCACTTCTGGAAACCTGCCTGTTGTAACAGCTCCAAATAATCATGCACATCAACCAGGGGATGCCACTGGCCCCCTGGAGCTCTCTCTCCCTGGGGTGGCCCTGGAATACACTGTTCAGGGGGAACCCCAGACCTGGTTACACATCCACAGCAGCCACCAGCACTCCGCCCTCACCGGAAGCCACAACCAATCCATAGATATCTACACAGAGTCCTCCAGGGCTGGGATGATGTCATAGGCAGGGGTGTGGGGAGGCTGCCCCGTGGCCAGGACCTGAGACTTCAAGGAAAGGAAGCTTTCTCTTAGGGCACACCTTGGGAGAAGAGGGGTCAGCATGAAAGGAACCTCAACTTCCCCCAACGCACACACCCACGCCAAAGCCACCCCCACAGCAAGTAGCTGGAAACATTTTTTGGAAAATCAGGCAGGCATTGGATATGCGGATGGCTTAAACGTCAGGCAAGCAAGCTTCTGCTGAAGAAAGTTCCCTGGGCCCCGGTCACCCACTTTCTGGGCATCAGCAACAGCCCAGGAATGACCATCAAGGGCCAAAGGCGGGCGGGGTCCGGGAGGGGCAGCTGACAGCTGTGGCCTGCGGGCAGGGACAGGAGGGGAAGGGCTGCGGGGCTGGAATCCGGAGCGTGCCCACATCAGCAGAAAAGTTCCCGGGAACAGCGGGCTGTCTGGGAGGGACAGAAAGAGGCTTGCTGCTCCCGGGACCTCGGGATGCGCTCGCTCGCTGCCCTGATGCCAGGTGAAGCGCGGGTCCCCCCCAGGGCACCTCGCCAGCCAGGGCGCCCACGGAGGGGCCAGAAGGGATGGCCCGATGACAAACAAAATGATTTGTTCCCAGGACCTGTGGGCAAGATTCACAGTTCCCAGGCCCGGCCGGCCCTGCTTCATCTCTCTCTCCTCTGCTCAAACCAAACACGGTCCAGAGAAGAGGGAAAGGGAGAGCCAGCGGACCCCGGCCCGGCCCGCCATCCAAGTGGGGAAACTGAGGCCCGAGGGTGCACCCCAGGGAAGAGGCTCTGGGGAGGCTAGCCTGCAGGCAGCATTTGGGACCGGGGAAGCTTTCTCCCCGCTCCCTTCCTCTGCTCCCCAGCACACAACACACACACACACACACACACACACACACACACACACACACACACACACGGACTCGCTCGAGCTACGCCCAATCGGGGCCGCCGCCGGGCTCCCCAGGGCCCCGCCGCACAAAGCCCCGCCCGCGCACACAAGACGCGGCCGCAGCCGGCGCGCACGCCCACACAATGGGGACCGCGCTCCGCTCCCCGCCGCGGCCCCGCGCGGGGTCCGGGCCAGCCCGGCGCCGGGGTCCGCCCTCCCTGCACACCCCCGCCCGGGAGACGCAGCAGCCCGGGCGCGGGGAGGGGGCGCCCGACGGATCCCCGCCGCCGCGCCCCGGAGCCCCCCGCAAGCAAGTTGGCCGGACGCAACCCCCCGACTCACCCGCGGCGCTGCTCAGCAGCAGGCACAGCGGCCCCAGCAGCCACATGGCGCGGCCGCCGCTCCCTCCCGCTGCCCGGCGCTCGCTGCCCCCGCGGCCCCGGAGCTGACCCCGCCCCTCGGCGCGCAGACCCCGCCCCCGCGGTGCTCCCGCCCCCGCCCCGCCCGCCAGGCCCCGCCCTGCCCGGCCCAGCCTGCCCGCCCAGCCTGGCCCGACCCGATCTGCAAAGTTTTGGAAGTGTCCGAGCTGCACGCAGCCGCCCGGAGACACGCCCGGGTGTCCCCGACTCCGAGAGGCCGCAGAGGGGGCCGCCCTTTCGGCCTCCTGCCGCCGCCGCAGCCTCCCCGCTCCGGCTGCAGGGACCTCCTACCAGCCCGGGCTCTGCCTCCTCTTTCTTCCCTCTCCTCCTCCCCAGGCTTCTCCATCCTCCGGGGATGCGGCGCTCACCCCCTCCCAGACCCAAGCTTGAGTTCTTGACTCAACCGCAACATAAGTTCACTCCAGGGCGGGGGGAAAAGTTGGAAGGAATGGGCCAAAGATGCTGAGAAAAAAAATATGCATTTTATGTTTAGCAGCGAGAGTGGGATGGATGTAGCCCATGGTTCTCAAATTTGAATACGCATCCCAAATAGGTGGGGATCTTGGTAAAAAGCTGACTCTGACTCCGTTGGTCTGGGGTGGGGCTTAAAGTTCTGCTTTTCTAAGAAACTTGTTGGCAGTTTGGAGACTGGTGGTCCGGGAAGCACCTTCCAGGGGTCAGGTTAGCCACGTGGGCTATTTCATCTGGATCCGTTCTACTTACACTGGGAGCACGTCTGGGCCCCAGTTTGTAGAAAAGGAAAGTATGGCAGGCTCCCAACAGCCAGAAGAACAGCTGCTTCAGTGCATCTGGGGCTCCAGGGTGGCACTGGGACCATTCCCAGCAGAGTTAGGTGGTAGGAGAATGCAATGCCACTTCTCTGCTCCACTCCCAGTCCCCACCCACCCGCAAAAAGCTAATGGAAAAACAAAAATAACAACAAAATAACAACAAAAAACCAACTGGATACAATTCACATGTCCAACCACTGGTGAGTGGCTAAACAAATTGTGCTGTCATTAACCACAGCTTGACTGAATCTCAAGCATGCTAAGAGAAAGAATCCAGCCCTAAAGGAACATTCTGTAAGATTCCACTTATCAGACATGGGAGGGAGGGGAGGAAGGGGCGATGTAAGGACCAAAACCAGATCAGTAGTTGCCAGGGTCTGGGCATGGGGGAAAGCGGTGAGTGCAAGGGACACAGGGATCTTTTTGGAGCAGTGGGACTATTTTGCATCTTATTTATGACTATGAGGGTGGCTACACAACTTAGTACATTTGTCAAAACGTATAGAGCTGCATCCCTAACATAGGTGAGCTTTACTGTATATACATGGTACCCGTTTGGAGGAATCAGGAGGGTGTAGGAAGGGGGACAACTAAGTAGAGACCACTTAGATGATGCTAAGATCCAATGACTTTACTTTTTAATGATCTGCTCAAGTCTGGAAACATGGAAGCTAAAATAGATCAGGTCAAGAGTTAAAAATACCAGTGCCCGGAGAAGGTAATGAGAAAATGTGGTGCTGTGTAGGAAAGTTTAGCAAGAACCATATTACAAGTATAAATTAATTCTTCCAAAGATTTAGCATTCCTGTGTTTTTACCCTGGGACCTATGAACACTAGTGATACTATCCACGGGCTTTGGGACATTTTAAAGCTCTTAATATTTATGCAAAATTTTGTGGTACATGCATTTTCCCAAGAAACATGTTGGAGCCTTTGCTAATAACAACCCAAAAAGGCAAGCAATTTCTCCTACAGTTGTTCATTTGCCTCCTTCCATCAGGAATATGGAAGGACAATGGCCTTGACCCAGTCCTGTCATTCTTGTTTCCTTAGGTTTCTTTGGGCACCCAAACTTCAACTCTGGAAATGATTTAGAGTCTTCCCCCCCCCCCCCCTTTCTCTCTTTCTCTTTCTCTCTCTCTCTCCTTTTAAATAAATTAATGTCTTTAAAATCATTTAGATAAGTTTAAAGCCCACTATAAGCTAAACTGTTTTTAGACTTATGCTGAATTATTCTCAGACCCCTCACCATATAAGCTGGGCAGGAGGTCTCTTACTTCCCAATTCGGTAGAATTCTAGCAAAAACACAGGATACTGGCTCAGTCAGAGTGGCTCAGTGGTTGAACATCAACCTATGAACCAGGAGGTTAAGGCACATGCTTGGATTGCTGGTGCAGTCCCAATGGGGGACGTGCAGGAGGCAGCCAATCAATGAGTCCCTCTCATCATTGATGTTTCTCTGGCTCTTCTTCTTCTCTGAAGTCAATTAAAAATATTAAAAAAAACAACAACAACAACAAAACACACACACACACACACACACACACTCAGGTCTCGGGGAACCAGTCTCAAGTCCTTTTTATGGCTGGTTTAATAAAAATCAAAGCCAGAGTGCCTTAGGTCTCATTGACCAAAAATGAGCCGCTATGGCCTTGGCTGTGTGCTCTGACACAGCTGCACAGTGCTGAAGGAGAGAAGAAAGAATTTTGTCTTTTTAAAAAAAAGATATTTTATTGATTTCCTACAGAGAGGAAGGGATAGGATTAGAGAGTCAGAAACATCGATGAGAGAGAAACATCAATCATCTGCCTCCTGAATTCTCCCTACTGGGGATGTGCCCGCAACCAAGACACATGCCCTTGACTGGAATCAAACCTGGGACCCTTCAGTCCATAGGCCGATGCTCTATCCACTGAGCCAAACCGCTCAGGGCAAGAATTTTGTCTTCTGTCTCTCTGTGGTCTTTGGTATAATGCTCTGTCATGCCCGTGTTCCCAGGCTCTCCTCGTGGCAGGCCCGGCAGCACCACGGGTAAAAACAGCTGGCCCCGAGCTCAGGTCTGTCTGAGATGCTCTCTGCACTTTTTCTCACTTGCCACACATGAGCTCTGTGACCTTGAGCAAGGGATTAGCCCTTCTGAGCCTTAGTGTCCTAACCTGTAAGATGCAGAATCTGAAGGTTGCTGTCAGGATTCAATGAGCTCACGGTTGGGAAGCCTTTGGCACAGTACCACGCACAAAGTAACTGCTCAAGAGAAGGTAGCTGTGGGTGTGGCTGTGATTCCGGCTACGAGGCAGCTGCTGTGGTAGCCCGTCTCCAAGGTGGCTGTCAGAGATCCTTGCCTTCTGGCATTCATGCTTTGGTGTAGTCTAATTCCACACTGAATGGGGCCGGCCTGTGCGACCAGTAGCTCTTGTAGAAGTGACGATTAGCAACTTCCAAGACCGGGTCACCAAGAACATAGCAATTGCTTTCTTGCTCTCTCAGATCCCTCGTTCCGGGTGAGGGAGCTGCCATGTGGTGAGGGCACTCAAGCAGCCCCATGGATAGGCCCTCAGCAGGAGCAACTGAGCTTCCTGCCAACTTGAAAGCCATTGGAATGAACCATCTTGACAGTGAAGCCTCCAGCCCTAGTCGGGCCTTCATATAGCCATGACTGTGGTGAACAATCGTGAGCTGGAACCACCCAGCCTCTCCCAAATTCCTGATAATAAATGTTTTTCTTTTTTATATATTTTTATTGATTTCAGAAAGGGAGAGAGACAGAAACATCAATGATGAGAGAGAATCATGGATTGGCTGCCTCTTGCAGGCCCCACCCTGGGGATTGAGCCAGAAACCTGGGTATGTGCCATGACCAGGAATTGAACCATGATCTCCTGGTTCATAGGTCAATGTTCAACCACTGGGCATGATAATAAATGTTTATTGTGGTTTTAAGCTACTAACTTCCAGAGTAATTCACTATGCAACTCCATCTATCTCTATCTCTCTATGTCTCATCAACCTATCTATCTGTCTGTCTGTCTATCTATCTATCTTACTTGCCAGGCTGCATGTTGTGAATTGCCCTCTAGAAAGGTTCAAGGGACAAGGAACTGTAAAGGCCTCCAGACAACAACCAGTGAGAAATTAATCCACAAAGACCTGAATCCTCCCAACAACCACACATGTGAGCTTGGAGACAGATGGGGCCACAGTCTGGGCGTGGCTTGACTACAATCTCATGGAGACCTCAAGGGGAACCCACCCAGCCAAGTGGTGTGCAGATTCCTTAGATTCCGAAAAACTAAGAATTCAAGTGCTTGTTGTTTAAAGCTACAGCATTTTGAAATGATTTGTGATACAGCGTTAGAGACCAATACAACAGTCTTACTCTGAACATGGAGTCTGTGAACACGGTCTGAGTCTCCCTTCCCTGGTAGCTGAGGAAGGCAGTGTGAGAGAACGATCATTAAGGAGCAGACTTGTGTTTGCTTCAGACATTGTACATTTATGATCAAATTTATCTTCAGGACAATCTCCAACGTAGATATTATCCTCCCGTTTGCATAGATGGGGAATCTGAGGCCCAGAGAATCTAAGCGACTGGCCCAAAATTACTCAGGAAATAGCTGAGATTGGAAGCTGAGTCCTTTTGATTCCAAAGGACTCCATGTCGCCGTTCGAAACCTGCAAAACCACTTCGAATTCATAAAACTCAGAGCACGTGTACGGCTGGCAAGATAATGTGCTTACTGGGTTTGGGGCTAGACATGCTGGGCATGTCGAATCAAACTTGATTTATTATGTAACATAGTTCACCTCCCAGGAAACTTTTCTGGCTATATCTAGTTATTGCAGTCCCCACCCCCCAAAAATGCTGAGTATGGAAGTTCTCCCAGCTAGAAATTAAACTCATCCCATAGCTGCCAAATGTATATATATATTTTTTTTAAATTGTCAGACTAATCTACAGGAAAATACTGCTGGGAAGCAGCAGAGTTCTTGTAATTCATGTTTAATATAGTCACTCGCTTGCAGAAGAGATCTGCTGACATTTATTAATGAAAATTTTGCACCATCTGAAAGGATGGAATTTTTACCCCTTCATTTCAAAACAACACGCAGCCTGTGATTGATTTTAATGCCTCAGTTTTACTGCCCCCCTGAATGAAGTTGTCTACACCCTTAAAA